GCGTTCATGATGTAGCGCTTCATATACGCATTTTGCGCAGTCCGGAGCTGACAGCTCCATGGAGCCTGCCTGCAGGCGCTAATGTCAGGACACCTCCACTCTCAGTACAGCGCCACTTTCCGAACAGGAAATGCACGCAAATACAATCTTTTATATTATTAAGGTACAGCGCCACTTTCCGAACCATTGATGAATGCTTGTGTACACAAAAACGGCAGGCAAAACCGTTTTAAATGTGTGTTTCCTGTATGGCAAATACAGCTGTTTTATTTATGTCTGTATGAAGTTGTTGTGAGTGTGGAGGGAGCAGCTACAGGTTAGCTTAGCCTAATCGATCAGTGCACTACGAAGCCAGTGCTAGACAGTGAACTGTCAACGGGGGGAGCCCCGCCGGTCATTATCGGCCGATATTCACTCTTAATAGTTTGATCGGTTCTCTCTATAAAGGCCGATCAGGAGAGCTGGATCTGATCAATATGGACATAATCGCAAGTGAAGTATAACCGGACGGGAGAGAGAGATCAGATCAGCTGCTGAGTCTGACAGAGACACGCAGCTCTCCATAATCACCTGAAGCTCCGCTCTCTGTTTAGCGAGCTAACCGGACTGCGCGTATATGAAGTGTCATGAACGCAATAAATCATACCCTCGTGGGGGGGCGCTCATGTGATTGGCTTAGAATGAAGGAGACATCTGATTGGCTATAGATAGAAACAATTACAAGTACGAATCGGGTGAGCGTCAGGGGAGTCTCAAAAAACCCACACACGAATGCACAGCGATCCGTGCACAGAAAGCGGTTTGTGTTTGCCCGGTTCAGAGGTTTTAAACGGAAAACAAATATGTGAGGATCAAAAATACATATGTAAAACTTTTTCTGTATTTGTATTTTATTTACATATATGAAACGGAACACATTTGTGTGTGCATTGAAAAACACAAGTGTGGATCCGGAAATACAAGTGTGAATCCTTCTGTGTGCATGTGTGTATTATGAGACTGTTCTGAGCCCATAACCGAAGCTAATCAGGCTATCTCGTATCATATTGTGGCATAAACCGTTTTCTACACAAAATAAATAGAATCACACTAAGCCTGGTTAGTGTTGCCTGACTTTATATAAGTGTTTTTAATAAGTCTGTGGTCGTGTTCTAGTCACTTTGCTCAGCGCTACTGATTGTTACAACTTGTATTTCGCTGTACTCGCCATGAACTGTTATTGCTCAGGCTAATCTCGACCCCCTCCAATGTAAGCGTGACGTATTTGGTTCTTAGATCTTGCCGGGTTGCTGACTCCAGCAAAGGTCAATTGTGTCTAGAGTGCGCCATCTAGTGGGATCAACTGAAATGCCAGGTATTGCAGGAAAAAGGCAAAATGAATGCGGTCTTTACTATCATTTGGACAATTTTGTACCAATATTCGGCGGGCCGGATTAAAAAGCCCAACGGGCCGTATATGGCCCGCAGGCCTTAGTTTGCCCATGCCTGGTCTACACTGTAGTCACCATGCTATGCACTGTTGGCTTAAAGCACAATTAAACCTGTTATTTAAAAGTAAACACAGCCATAACGGCCTCAGAAGGGACCGGGAACATCGATAAATGTATAAAGAGAACTGGATACAGGGTTGGGGCCCAGTTGAAAGTTGATCAGTGGCGCATGAAGCCAAATTGACCTGACTTTTAAGAACACAAATCTTCCAGGGATCCTCCGCATCCAATTGCACTGCATTTTCCTTACGCCCCACCTCCAATCCATGAGGGCAGCAAAATGACGTCACAGACTGACACTGAAGTTGTACCGTTTGGCCATTACAAACATTTGTTTTGACGCACGGCGCACTTCCTGGAGCAGCTTCCACTGTGTATTGTATTTTCATGAAGGAATGTGTAAAGTTGTGTAACCTCATTCCCTAAATGTTTGTGATTTTCTCCATTTCCTGCCATTATATTTATCATGGTTTAGAATGACTAGCTTGGCAACATGCATCAGTCTTTGCACCCTCCAACCTTGTCGTGAATATTAATCAGCTGAGCAGCAGGGTCAGGAGACTTTTCACAGTAATTGTTACTCTCAACATCTTACTTTGGCGCCGCCCTGAGTGGCTGCCTGTACTGAGCAGCTGCCTGTACTGAGCAGCTCTTCCTTTGTTTCTAGCTTTTCTAGCCTCTCTTCTTTTCCCCCACTACTCTTACGTTTTAGTGGATTTAATTTAACTGTAAATGTTGGGACACTGTTCTCAACTTGTATATATTATTAGTAGGATTTGTATCTGTTTTTTTTATCACATTTCCAATGGATTCAAACGGCAGGACAATCACCTACTCAGGAGAAGCGCTCCTCTCCCTCCGGGGGCCGAGTTTCAGCGCCACCAAGGGATGTACCAGCTGTTATACGCAGACACATACGGGGGACACGAGCACCCCAGCACGTGCACTCCGCTCTGCATCAGCCAAACGGATCGCTGCACCCGCACTGCGAGGGGGACCCAAGTTCCCATCAGCAAAAACACGTGGGTTTGCTATCCTGGCTCCAAAATGGTGGAATGAGCTCCCCATTGACATCAGGAGAGGAGATAGCTTGCACATCTTCCGGCGCAGACTGAAAACTCATCTCTTTCGACTCCACTTCGAGCGATATAATTACTGACAAAGCACTTATATACTAATAAAGGACTGGCTTATCTAAAGCCAGTTGAGTAGCACTTGAAATGTTTTAGCTCTATGAAACCTGATTTTTTTTTAAATATTGAAGTTAAAAGCATCAATCTGGTGCACTTTGAGAGCAACATTAAGAGATCTATGGATACATCTCTCAACACCAGTGGTCGCGTTAACCGAATATTTTCCGTCTATGACGGATTTTCTTTTTAAATGACGGAAAAATATGAAACCAACGTTTCCCCGCAGCGAGATGCCGTGTTATGCATGCCCGTCAAAAAGGAAATTATATAGTTTCCAAACCGTACTTTGCTGTACAAATCAGTGAAATGTCTGGGAGCTTTATGCTGGGGCGCGCTCCCACAAGGTGCATGCATATCTCGGTGGGCATGCACAACACGGCATAACACCGGCGCTAACAGTCAGGGCCGTTTCTAGCTTTTTGGGGGCCCTATGCAAGATGCTGTTTGGGGGCCCTAGTTTTGACAGTTTTTTTAACTACAATAGGGGGGATTCCGAAGCCTTTAAGATGATCTGTGGAGATGCATCAATCTGTTACACTTTAATAGGAAACAGGCTAATTTCACGAAAACCAAGCAATTGAAAATGACAAAAAATGATATTAAAAAGGTAAACAATAAGGCTGCTCTATGTCAATAAATGCAAGAGGTGCAGCATTTTCTCAACAATGTTTAATTTACATTTTTCATCTTCCTCAGACGTCACTGGCTGTCAGCCAGTGATGATTTGGACTTTATTACCCCAAAAACCCAAGCCACAGCTTTGCTATCATTGCAGTTTAGTCGTGTTTATATCCTACATTGGATTTGTAAGCATATAATGCTTCACCGAACACACAGTGGCGACTGGTCATTAGGGGCACAGCCCCACCTAGTGTCAGCAGAAAGTATTACAAATAATGATTACAAAAAAATGCAAAAAATAAATAACAAAATATATAAAATATATTTTAAGATCATGTTTAATCATCTGATTCGTCTGTACATTGCTGTTTTAGTCTGTGTTCTTCTAATTAGTGTCTACACTCTACAGTGTGTGCCTATTGAGCTGTTTAGAGCCATGTGGGACAAAACCCGATCATGCCCCTCCCTCTCACTGTCTAAGTGAACGGTGACTATAAAAACTACACTGCGCATGCTCAGAGTATTTTCCTATTTAATGTGTGTGGCAAAAAAATAATGACCATAGGGGCATAGAGCTGCCATCCCCACCATACGTCATTTCACATCATTCAGAGCTGATTGGCTGTAAGTACGTGTGCCGCGAAAAGTGTGGTGTGTGAAGAGGAGGAGAGAGACGCGTCCAAAAACCAGGAAGTAAGCTGCGCATGGCTTCCCTCCACAAAAAAGCAATGAGATTTCTCCATGGGATTTTAGAAAATAGCTCAAAATAATTTGAGCAAGCTGTTCTTCCTGAGGAGGCTCAGGTCCTTCAACGTGTGCACGAGGCTGCTGCAGATGTTCCACCAGTCTGTGGTGCCCAGTGTGCTCTTCTTTGCCGTGGTGTGCTGGGGTGGAAACATAAACACTAGGGACACTGGCAGGCTGAACAAGCTTCTGAGGAAGGCTAGCTCTGTAGTGGGAGTACAACTGGACAATCTGGAGGAGGTGGCAGAGGGGAGGACGAGGAGGAAGCTTGACAGCATCCTAGACAACCCCTCCCACCCACTTCATGCAGAGCTAGTGAAGATGAGGAGTACGTTCAGCCACAGACTCATCCCTCCACAACAACGCACCAAGCGCCTCGGACAGTCCTTTGTGCCTGTAGCCATCAGGCTGCACAACAAGGGGTCAATAATGTAAAAAAAAAAAGAAATTTTAAAATCACTGGACATAAATATACACTGTTTCCACAACCCATGTTAATATATTAGTAGTAGACCAAATATGTAGATAGATATGTCACTATATGTACAGATGTCCATTTTCACTTGTCACTTTAACTCATTTCGTACTTCATAATTTAGATGACCAAATATGTATATATGCTGACAGTTATTTTATTCATCTCCTATTTCATAGTCTTTTATTATTATTATCATTTTAATTTTTTTCTTGGTTTAATTTTTTATTTTATTAATCTTTGTGAATCTGTGCTGTCCTGTTTTTCCCTGTTACTGCTTGTACAACTGAATTTCCCCATGGGGATTAATAAAGGTCCATCTTATCTTATCTTATCTTACTATTGTGAATAAATACGTAAAAAGTCAAAACTAAGGGGTTTATCACTTGATTACTTCTAAGAATTTCCTGTGCACCGGTTGTAGCTTTTGTCATGTAAAGAAAAGGAACCTCAGAAAAAGACATTGGCATTTCTTACCATTGTAGGAGAGGCGGGGCTTGCTTAGACACATGATGAAGTGAACTTCCATTTCATTGGACGCCACAGACTTGGAGCAGACAGGACACTTGAATCCTAAGAAGAACAGAAGAGCAGAGATATTAATGATATATCTCTAAAATAAGTAGTTGTCAAATTGAATAGCACATGTAACTGACAGCCTTTAAGAAAATGACCAGTGGTGAAATGTATTGAAGTTATAGTGACCAGGTGCCAACAAATCACATGTGGGACAAAGAGTGTGTTTGTGCGGGACATGTGACTGTGATGCTAAGAAGTAGTTTGGATTTCAATATAATGTCCATCTCACCCTAAAAAATGAAATGTCTATTGAAACTATAACATACATATTAATTAAAACACTTTACTATAGATTGATTGTTTGCACAAACCATGCAAGTAAAGAACTTAAGAATATAATTGTTTGAATGGATTTTTCCCCGCATACAATCGTCCACATACCCATTTTTTGCAATCTCCGAGTCTGGAACAATTACCGGAGGTTAATACCACAGACTGCTGACTTGTGTGATCGTGAGAGCTGCACAGTGTGGTATACATTGATCCAACCACAATTCATCCTCTTTTGGTTTTTCTTCATGTGCCCGACATTTCTTGTGATTTTCACACAAAAGAAATCTGGCAAAAAACATCATATACAAATCTGTGGGAACTGTACTCCACCGGCCACACCCAAAGGTAAATACATCTTTTGTAAGAATAGAATGCTACTTTATTATTCTACTCCACAACATTTTAGACGCCAATATTGTACTTAGTTACTAGCTACTTTACATATACTGATTTTTTAGCTAAGCTTAATATATCCATCAGTAGTTTATAAAGTAATTAAAAGTAGCCTAACTTATACCAGCTGTGATGAATACATTAATTCATAAAAAATAATAATCCAGTAATTTAATATAGATGATTCTGAATCGAGCTATTGCACACAATGAGTACTTTTACTTTTAATAATAATAATAATAACTTGGATTTATATAGCGCCTTTCATGAGACCCAAGGTCGCTTTACAAAGAAGAACAGGAGTAGAGACAAACATAACAAAAACAAAAGGCAGTCAGACAGACAAAACAACAAATAGATTAGGGGCCAAAAGCCTTGGCAAACAGATGGGACTTGAGGGCCCTTTTGAAGGCGTCAAGCGTGGGGATGTTGCGGATCTCCGCAGGGAGAGCGTTCCAGAGGGTGGGGGCTGCCCAAGGTTCTTACACCTTTTCTAAAGTCAAATTCAAGCACTTTTCAAGCATTTTCAAGGTGCATTTTCAAACTTTTCAAGCATCTTACAGCTGTTGTAAATTACATATTTATATACACATACTTATACTTAAATGATTATTTCCCTACCTCACATTACATCAGATGTTCTTTATGCTATAAACAACCAAATGTGTGTTTCATAATAGCATTCTACATGAGGATGACAAATTTAAAGAAAAGAAAACTAAGTTTAATATTTCAAAATGAGTTACCCATCTGTACGTAGACTGGGCATCTCATATAACCTGGCTGAGCCAATATAAAACTATCAGCCAAATCACTTTTCAATACATTATTGATTACTATTTTTGAGGTACTTTTAGGTTGGCAGTGAACATAAGTCAGAGGTAAATGGTGTACTTTTCTTCCACTACATGTATTTAATCCCTTTAGTTACTTTACAGATGTGGATGAATGATGTGAAATCTAATCAAGTGTTAAATCAGACTTTAGTTCCACCTGGAGTAAATCCACAAGCTACCCTGCAGTATACAAAGTCATTCAAACTAGCTGCACCTTTACCAGCTTTGAGAACACTTTCATGATCAATCTTTATAAAATATATCATATATATTATATAGGGCTGTCAGTCGATTAAAATAGTTAATCGCGATTAATCGCAAATTAATCGCACATTTTTGATCTGTTCTAAATGTACCTTTGAGGAATATTTTTCAAGTTTTTAATACTCTTATCAACATAATAGTGGACAAATATGCTTTATGCTAATGTTTATTATCATTTGAACAATGACAAATATTCTCATGAATATTAAACACAACAACCTCTGAACATTACAAATATTCGCCTCAATTCAACCTGGAACCTTTCTCATACAATAATACAATACAATTGACTCAGCACTGTGCACATGTACGTCTGCTCTGGAGCCTGAAGGTCACCTTGTAGAAGTGTGTGTGTGTGTGTGTGTGTGTGTATGTGTGTGTGTGTGTGTGTGTGTGTGTGTGTGTGTGTGTGTGTGTGTGTGTGTGTGTGTGTGTGTGTGTGTGTGTGTGTGTGTGTGTGTGTGTGTGTGTGTGTGTGTGTGTGTGTGTGTGTGTGTGTGTGTGTGTGTGTGTGTGTGTGTGTGTGTGTGTGTGTGTGTGTGATGGATCGTTGGAGCTATGTGCAACTCAAGGCATATGCTCGAACGGGAGCTGCCTGGACGCTGCAATCATGTTGCGCACTATCCGTACTGAGTGTGCTGACTTCTCGTACAATGTCCCACTGTCTGGCTTCCTGCATAAAGTCAAGTGCTCGGCGCAGTTGTGGCGAAATGTCGCTCCTCTGTTTTCATTGAAACAGCTCCTTATATCGGTTAGCGCAGCTAGCTAGCACCAGATGCTAACAACAACAATGCACGTAAGGTCTCTCTCTCGCTCGCTCGGGCCACACATACACACACCCTCCCGGTCCTCCCAGTAGCCAGTCGGTGCCTGCCGGTGAGCGTGGAAGTGTGGTCTGCCACAAGCGGGCGGCAGGAGCGGGACTGTCAGCTAGCTAGCACCAGATGCTAACAACAACAATGCACGTAAGGTCTCTCTCTCCTCCCTCGGGCCACACATACACACACCCTCCCGGTCCTCCCAGTAGCCAGTCGGTGCCTGCCGGTGAGCGTGGAAGTGTGGTCTGCCACAAGCGGGCGGCAGGAGCGGGACTGTCAGCATCAGCTTGTAGACGGTATTTTAAACTCGATGCGCTCTGAAACTACAGGGCGGTCGAGGAAAAAAAATACACATGCGTTAATCGCGTTAAAATAATTAGTGGCGTTAATTTTTGTTTGCGTTAGCGCGTTAACTTGACAGCCCTAATATTATATAAATGTAATCTATTGATTCGTGTTCAACAACACGATTTTCCCCTTTTTTTCGTGTCACACAGAACAATTTTAAAAGCAATGTATTTCTATTGGTAGTGTGTTTCATGCCTGCGTCTTTTTGTCCGGTCGGGTCTTGGAAGACCGGAAGCTGTGGTGTTCATAAAAACATGTTCTTACTCAATATCAAGCCACGATTATTGTTTTTATTTTAAATCGTATAATGTCGGACTTTTTTTGCAGTCTGTGAGGAAAATAAATGGGGCTCAGAGCCTCAGAATGCTGAAATCTGTATATATTTTTGTACTTCTAATTTGTTATTATTTGTGACCCGCTCTATTGAAATCAGTCAAAAATCGCAACGGCTCATTTAAAAAATAAACATGGATTTGTGTAAAAAAACTATTTTTTCAGGGTTCGGGTGTTTTGTTTGATTTTAAATAAAGAAAGTCTTGGCTTTCAGAATATGAAACTGTTATTGCCAAAATCTCATGATAAATACATTTTTGAAGCTTGTAAAGGGACGAAGAGGCACCTCTCGACTCGCACCCTGCTCTTCCGCAGCACCGCTCCCCCTCCCTCCGGCTGAAATTATGAAGTAAAGGCGTATAGTAATCATAGATAACACGACAGGGTCCGTTACAGTTTGTTTTCATCTGTTTTCTAATAAACAAAGTCTTGGCTTTCAGAATATTAAACTTGTTTCCGCAAATTCAGATGATAAATACAACTTTGAAGCTTGTAACGGCATAATTAAAAGCGGAGAACGGAGAAATGTAACGTCACAGAAGTCATAACAACAGCCGGTGTTTCTTGTGAGTGTTTCCCCGGTACACAAACACAATACACACAAACGCAAAAACACACAAACACACACACACTCGCGAGCTTCCCCCAGACCAGTAATACAAACGAAAATGTGTCTTCGGGTCAATGTGACTGATTTCGATAGAGCAAGTCACATTTGTTTTAGGCACGACACATAGTGTAACGGACTAGTTATAATGTTGATGTTTGATGTGTTTGTTGTTGCGGAAGTTTATGAAGAGAATTATGCAGAAGATGTGATACAGCATATTTTTGGTATATTCATTTTAATCTCACCAATATATAAGAGGTGTATTGCATCATGTTATCCCTAAATATATGTGTGGGTATATACATTCCTGTGTATTAATAGTTGAAGGAACAAAATACATTTTTCCTCTTAAATATAGAGAGGTTTTTTATAGATTCCTGAAACAATGTTCCCTTTTTCTTTAAAGTAGATTAGCGCAATAGTCTTTTTCTTTCACTTGTACCCTTTTCATCAAAAGGGTGCTTTAGGCTATTTTTGAGGGGTAAAATGCAGAATTACTTGTGAGTTCTGTTTTGAGTGAAAAGATTACCCTTTTGAGTGTTTTTCTTGGTTAACCATTAGATATAGTGGCTAAATTCGTTCTAAGTTAATGATGCGCATCCTGCAGGCCTTGAGAATTTAGTCACACAGTTAAGAGAGACAATGGTCCTTTTAGACTAAGGGTGAGCTTACTTCGGGTGAATAAAAGTTCAGAGATGATTGGGGGGGGTATGAAGACAGTTAGGCGTTGTTGGTGAGCTAGTTATGAGGATGTCATGGGATAATGACTGTTTTATTCCTAACAAGTATGGCTTTCATAAAGAAACACATGACTTGGGTGATAAGATGTGTTTTGTTGTAAAATGGGCCCGTTTGGTTTTCTGCTGGCCAGCGCTGGGTCACTGTGACAAAGCATATTTTGCGTCTGCCAATGAGAGGACCTGAAAAGATGACCAGCTGACCTCACCCCTTCCTTCTGTCTTCTGGTATATATTCTGTCGATTCCTGAGTTCGGTCTCTCTTCACATGCTGTCAGGACCGGAAGGATCTCCGCAGCACGCGAACCAGGGCAGAAGTGGGCCGGCTACTTCTTAAAACATTACAATATGATTTTAGTATATTGTATTATATGGTGTTGTA